GGATGGAGAAGGCGGAGAAGGAGAGGATAGAGAAGGAAGCAAAAGAAAAAGCAGAGAAAGAGAGAGTGGCTCGAGAGAGGGCGGAAAAAGAGAGACAAGAAATGGAGAGATTGGCCAAAGAAAAGGCGGCCAGAGAAGAGGGGGAACGACTAGAGCGAGAGCGGGCAGAGAAAGAAAAGATGGAGAAAGAGCGTCTTGCCAAGGAAAAGGCGGAGAGGGAACAACGGGAGAAAGAAAGACTGGAAACAGAGAGGGCCGAGAAGGAGAGGATGGAGAGGGAGCGCGTCGCCAAAGAGAGGGAAAGACTAGCCAGAGAGAAGGAACGCCAAGAAAAAGAACGCATTGCCAAAGAAAGAGCAGAAAAAGAGAGGCTGGAGAAGGAGCGCATCGCTAAAGAAAGGGAAAGACTCGAGAAGGAGAGGATGGAGCGAGAGAGGGCAGAAAAGGAACGAATAGCCAAAGAAAGAGCTGAAAAAGAAAGGCTGGAGAGGGAACGTATAGCTAAGGAAAGGGAAAGAATCGCCAGGGAAAAAGAGAGAGCAGAAAAGGAAAGACTGGAAAAAGAGAGACTAGCCAGAGAGAAGGAAGAGAGGGAAAAGATGGAGAGGGAGCGCATCGCCAGGGAGAGGGCAAGAATCGCTCAGGAGAAGGAGAGATTAGAGAAAGAAAAAGCAGCTAAAGAGAAAGCAGAGAAAGAAAGACTGGAGAAGGAAAGGGCGGCGAGAGAGGAGAAGGAGAGGATGGAGAGAGCGGCGAAGGAAAGAGAGAGGGTCGCCCGGGAGAAGGAGAGGATGGAACAGGCGAGAGTAGAGAAGGAAAAGCTGGAGAAAGAGAAAGCAGCGAGGGCCGAAAAGGAGAGAGCGGCTCGAGAGAAAGAGCTGATGGAGAGGCAGAGGCTTGCCAGAGAGAAAGAGCTGATGGAGAGGCAGAGGCTCGCCAGAGAGAAAGAGCTGATGGAGAGGCAGAGGCTCGCCAGAGAGAAGGCTGTTCGGGTTAAGATGGCGGCGGAGCGAGCGGAGAGGGAACGCAACGCCGCGAAGAAACAAGAGCCCCTCGAGAGGAAAACAAACACCACGCAGGCGAAAGCTCCGGCGGCGGAGGAGAGGAGTGGCAGAGCGAGTGTGTCCGCAGTCCGGAGAGAGGAGAAGACGACGACGGCGGGCGGGAAGAAAAAATGACCACGCGGTACAAAAGATCTCATAAATGGTGCTAGAACTCTGATTGGCTGCAGGGTCGGAGGAGGCGTGGCCTTCCTCTGTGACTGTCGGCTCTCGTTGAAAAAAAATGTTACAGGACAGTTTTCTTAACCGCTAAGTGTTTGCTTTCTCTCGATCGCTGAGGCCAGATGTATAAAGGATGCACACGTACGACTCTTCCTGTATTTATTAAAGGAGAATGTGTGATATTGTTTGTAATCAGTCAGTAATAAAGTGAGTTGTAATGTGAACAATATCTGATATCTAAGTATCGATATGCAGACGGGTTTTTTAAGGTGTTTCTACGTCCATTTATGGATAATTGATTGAGATTTATAAAACAGAAGTAGAAGTCTTTGTTTTATGCATCTGGCCCCTGATGTTTTTTGTATTATATTTTAGAGCAGTTGATGTAATGATGTGTTCAGATCAATGCACAGTACATTTTCACCTGGCTCCAGGTACAATCAGCTGATGGGACCGTTAAGTACCTAGTTGCAGCAGCTAATACAGTTAGCACGTCGTCGTCATCCCGGTTACAAGCCGCAGTTCCCGTTTGACGTTTGTTTTTCTGCGAATATCCGACTCGTGAAAAGTGCGTCGACTCCTCGTCTCTTCGCGCCGACTATCAGGGGTTAGCTCCAGTTGCTACCTCGTGGTCTTAAAGTCTTTAGCTAACCACGGTAAGAAACAACTTAGCATTCATCAGTGGTGACATTGTAGAAGAGAATCAACACACACGATACAACATTTGTCCATTCAACCCATCTTAAGTACTGGTGATTGTTGCTAAATATAATATATAACATGGTGTATTGATTGATGGTGCAGTGGTTTAAGGGTGTTTTCAGAATTGATCCTGAAATGTGTCGGGCAGGTAAAAAAGGGAAATGTCCCCCTCAACAAAGTGTGAAAACTATTTCTTTAAAATGATCTGTTTGCTTGAAGCTTGATCATCCTGCTGTTTGTCTGTCTGCATGCTGGGTTGATGTAAATGTTTTGAGTTTTATTTTTGGTGAAGACAGATTGTAAATCTTGAGAAGCAGAAGAGAGTCGACCCCCGTTGTCTTATCTCTGATTCGTTCTCTGTTCTGTTGTTATTCTGGTGTTATTTAAGACCTCATCACCAGAGCACGAACTCACTGAAGGGTTCAACTTAAGGAATTCACTTACAGATAGAGTTATACTTGAGATGTTTGCTTTTGTTGCATTGTGGGTTTTTTTTTTAAGTCAGATAGGATCGTTCCTCGTACACAGGAATGTAATCCACTGTTCTGGCTAGTATTTATCTACTTTGGTTATATGAGTATTCGTTAAATGTCATTTAGTGCATCTAATGAGGAGAAGAAGGGTTGAGTTCAATGCAATAGCAGTTCAAACGTCTGCTGAACTCGTAATAAGTGATATGTGCAGTAGAGACGTGTAGCAGGACACAAAATGTTTCACTCACAGGACACGAGAGCTGCAACTAATGGTTATTTTCACAATCAGTCAATTAGTTGTCCAAATCCATATGTGACGTCCTCAAATGTCTTGTTTTGTCCACAACCCAAAGATATTCAGTCATAGAGGATTAAAGAAACCAGAAAATATTCACATTTAAACATCCAGACTGTTATATTTAATCAAAAAAGGGGGTTGAAATAACTAGTTGGGGTGGAGATAGATATAAATAATATATAATAATAAGAGAGAGACATAATTCTGCCCTTATTGTTATCATATGAAAGTAGGTGTGCTGTGTAGTGCTCCACTAAAGGATGCATCGCTTTACGAGTTGTAAGTCATTGGATTTGCTTTATATTGACAATCTAAGAGAGTATTAGTTAACATAACATTAACAGAAATAATACTCATTCAGTTAAAACATGCATTGTCAGTTATTAAAACAGTGGTTGTATTAGAGACAGATGTGTGATTTTACTGCTTTCATGGGAGCTTTTGTAACTTTAGAATGAGCTGGTTTTATCTACAGACGCTGCGGGTCTCCTTCCGTGGAGGCCGTCATGTTTAACCGCCATGTTTCTACAGTAGCCCAGAAGGGACAATGCAAACACTGGATCTACATAGGGGCACCGTAGTTTCTCCCTCGCACTTGGAAAGAGAAACAAGTGAGCTGCACACACTGGACCTTTTTAAAGGCTGCAATCAGAGAATGAATCCACCATTCTTGCATTCTTCTGTCTGTTAATTGCACCGACTTTAAAATATAATGATAATGTTGATTTTTCCTTCATAATGTGATCTTAAATAAATCAATCTTGGTTTTCAAATCAAGATGTTTGTCTTCCTTCTTGGTGTAATAGAAATATCAGAGTGCTGTGTAGAGAGAGAGGCAGCCCTACATGTTCCCTGGTTGAACTGAGTAATGAACATCACGTCCTCGCTCTTGTGTTTCACTGCTATCTTCCTCCAGCACAGCTTCCTCCTCTGTTCGCTCTCTCACGCTCGTTTCCTTCCCTCAGAACATAATCAGAGACTCCTGACCTCCTCGCTGCTGCTGCTGGTGTGGGGGTTTCTTCTCTTGCATTAAATATAATACACAATAATCTACAAGGTTTTGGTTGATGAATTGATTGAATTAGAACACCTGTTGTTTTCTGTGAGGCACTGTTGCAACTGTAAACCAACATCAGATCTGTAAGGGGTAATAATGCCTGTGTCGGATGGTTCCACCTCTGAGGGCATTATGCTGCTTATGTGGTGATCAGTACTGGAAGAAGTACTCTGAGTATCAGTTATGATACCACAGTGGAGGAATACAAAATTTTACATAGTTTAAGTAGAAAAGTAACAAAAATAAAAGCACTCATTATGCAGAATTCCAGAATAATCTATATAATAAACTATTGATGCATTAATGTGTTCATCACTTTAATGTTGCAGCAGAAAGTAAATGTAAGTTGTGTAATAGAAGAATTACCGCCAGGGAGAAGAAAACACTGAATTTCTCAGAAAAGAAGCTTATTAAGTTTGTATGATTATTAAAAATGATTTTAAAATACATAACACAGACAGATAATTGGAAAAAAAGTTCCCAAAACAGGAATGCTACTGAAATGTCCCACTGAGGCGGACTGTGTCTGATCCCTGAACTTCTAACCACTGAACAGGTCTGAAAGAGGCCCCACATGTGGAGGATTCACCTGAGGAGAGAACAGGTGAACACACACACACACACACACACACAAACACACACACTGTTGTCTCCCAGACAAGCGAGCTGACCTGATACCTGAGAAAACCTCCCAGTGTTTCATTATATTCCCACCTGTGAGTTTGGACCCGAGGGCGCGTCTGCCCCCACTGACCTCTGCTGAGCGTAACTCTGACCCCAGATCTGTGTCAGAAGAGACTGAACAGTAACAAAGAGTCACAGAAGCTTCATATCAGCTCCACCCAGCTTCATTGTCACCCAGTACAACCAGTACAACCAGTACTGCCAGTGGGATCCTCTGCAGTGAAACGGGTCATAAAGGGACTTAAACTATTAGTGTATTACTGTTTGTGGGATCATGGGAGTTTCAGTGTTCATGGTTCAGGAGGGGTTCTTCTACCGTGCGCAGCCCCCAATTATTTCCACAGAGCGGCTCCTCTCTCCAAAACAAACAGACTGCTGATTAAAACCACTAACACTGTAAGTCCAGTATGTGCCGGATGACTTAAATATCCTTCATCCGGTTCAGAATCTAGAGGTTAAAAAGCCACCAAAGCAGCCTAAACAGTGATTGTAGAAAATGTGCTTCAGGAACTGGGATAACAGTCAATGTGTGGACAGCTTCTGCGCAGACACACAACTCACTATCATACAGAACATATAGGGATTTATACTGTTTAATGAGGAACTGTTACACATTATAGATCCACCATGTTTTTAACTTTAATATATCTGTATCTTCTCTATGGCGCCCTCCATCTCTGATACCAAAGAAACCACTGAGCCTGTGGTTGAAATAACCAATCAGCAAGCTGCAGAGCCACAGGGGGCGGAGCCAACAGAGGTCACATCATCCGAAACACCAGCTGAGGAGACTGTGTCAGGTATTTTAATATCAATAAATCATTAATTTGTAGACATTATAGATCGTGAGGGTACAAAAACATCTAGTTGCTGCTTTCTTGAACTCAGTTTTTATTGATCAGTTTCAGAGAGCGGCCCCTCACCTGTCGATGTCGATGTCGATGACGATGACGAAGGTACGTAACGTCACAGCTAACAGCGTGTATAATGAGGAAGGTGTTTCTTTTGGATGTGTATTGATCGGCAGCACAGATAATCACTGTTTGTTCTCTGTAACTGATTAAACAGCAGCTCCACTGCTCTTTGTATTTGCTGCTGTGTGCGAGCTGCTCTGATATTCAAACGCTACTTTTCCTCCTTCAGATTATTTGCTTGTTATTTGCTTTAATATATATATGTATGTGGACACCCCCTCGTTGTCCTCCTGGTGGTGAGTGGATGATAGCACACGGTGATCATTTAGACATCTCAGATTACTTTATTCTTCTTTACGTTAACATAAAATGGAAAGTCCTGTTTGGCGCTGGCAGTATGAGACATTCATTCAGACTTTGTGGTCACAGTTTCTTGCGTCATGTTACACACTGTGGGCTCGTTTTCCATCTGGATCTCTATGGAAACAACTCAACAATGTCTTCTGTGCAGTATAACGTAGTTGTAATGTCTTAAATCATTAAAAATAAATGCAAGTTGAATTTTCTTTGCTCTTTTATTTATTTATTTGTTACAACGGGATGTATTATACAACATTTTACTGTATCGTTGCCCTCCGTCTCCTCTCCTGACTCCGCCTGCTCTCTGTTAATCCAGAAATGGGAAAAGAGGTGGAGCTGAGACGGGCAGAATGAAGCCCACCTGTCACTCAAAGCGACCACACCCTTAATTGTACATAACATTAAACCCTAATATAACTTACAGGTGACTTGTATAAAGATTCACCCCCGTACAGCTGCCATAAAGAGGAAACAGACTCACTGCTGGGTGTCCACATACTTATGGCCACATTGTGTATCTGGCAGACTTTTATTCACTGCGTCAGTCTGTATTGATACCTGCTGTCTGCCCTGTGATCCACCTGTGATCTGTCTGTGTCTGATCCAGTCTCTAGATCTCAGGATGTGGAGTCTGAAATCCAAGGTTGGTCCTGCTGCGCACTGTGTGGCTTAGCGGCTGCTGTGTTTGGATGTGTCTCTGTGAAGGTTTTCCTGCATGTTGAACATTTCACTCTCACCTTCGTAGCTTCACACCCTCTCTCTCTCTATCTGTGTCTGCAAAACAGTTCTGAAACATCAGCTGATGTTCTGCTACCGAGACACACACACCTGTTCATATGGCTCCTGTGTGTGTGTGTGTGGTGTGTGTGTGTGTGTGTGTGTGTGTGTGTGTTTAACCTGTGTGCTTTGGTATCTCCAGCTGCTGTCCCTCTCCCTCCGTTGGTGGAAGACGACTTTGTGCCAGGTCAGTTTTCTGACGATGATAAGTGAATTCAAACAGCCGAAGAGACAGCGCTGCATGTTTCACGTTAATAAAATATGTTTTAATAAGTCTGGATTATTTAATTCCTATTGTCCGTTCCCAGAAATATAATATTCAGTTGAAACTCTGCAGTATAAGAGCCAGTCTGTGTTTCAGATGATCATTCATTCTTCCTGCTGCTGATTTCTGCTCTCAGCCTTTAAACTGTTGTATTAAACTGTTACTGAGACGTTTGTGCGTCTGTGTGTGTGTGTGTGTTACAGATGATCCTCGAGACAGCGTGCATCCTTATGGTGAGTAAAATCTCTTTTCCTCTGTCCTCTGCTTTTACTAAATGTCTGTAGTTTTATAATAAGCTGCTCCTGCTGTGTTGATGGTTGTGTGTTTATCTCTTTGTTTCAGAGGATCAGGCTGACGGCGTAGACACAACTGGAGGTGAGTGGTTTGACTGAATGATACATGTGCTGAGGTTAGCAGAGCGAGCTGATGTTAGTAAATGAAAGCTGGAAGACTCGCCTGGTTGGGAACAAGCTAGTGTTCCCACAGCAGAGGTAGCGTTGACGAGGACGGCGAATAGTGCAGCTAGAGCGGATGGAGTGATGGTTGTTGTACGTTTGTTGCAGTTCTGTTGGAGGAGCCGCCGCCAGAGGAGAGCGTCGGTGAGTCAAACAGTTAATAATGATCTTTAACTCGCAGTTTGCTTTGGTCTGATGCGGTTCGGTTCACTCTTGTTGGTTTGTTTATGTAGTTTTTTTAGTTTTTCCGGTGTTCTGGTTTAATAAAGTGATATTTGCTTTAGTTTGTTTAGTTGTTATTGTTTATTTTGGGGGTTATTTGTTTTATTTAGTTTGTTAAAGGACCTGTTTAGTGTGGATTAAAAGATGATGATTAGAGTTGCTGGTCGATGGTCCAGGCTAGCTGTTTCCCCAGTCTTTATGCTAAGCTAAGCTAACCGGCTGCTGTCTGTAGCTTCATATTGTTTGTACAGACTTGAGAGTGATATCGATCTTCTGATTTACAAATGAATGCACTAATAAAGTCATAAAAAAGGATAAGAGTTGTTTATATATAAGCGTTATCACTGCTATCGGCCTCTGTGAGCTGTGTTCGCTAAAATTAAGCCTTAATGTTGTTTTCTTTTTCTGTTTGTTGTGTAGTGGAGTCTGGGGAATACTTAACGAGCTCCAAAGTCACACAGGAAGCAGGTACAGTATGAATGATCTGAATTTAGAGTCTTTTGACGTCAGGAAATCTAAAAAAATTCTGCTTTTCATGAACTCACTACTGCTGAAGTGATGAGATCTGTTGCTTCTGAAATACATCACCTACCCTAACTGCAAGCTCACAAACACTGTGCTGTGTATCTCCTGTCAGAGCCGGCTGTAGACGCAGAGAACCAGTCTGAACCAGCAGCAGAACCAGAACCACAGAGTGAAACACCCAGAGAGACAGAGAGCGGACCAGAGGCTGAGGGTGAGCACACACAGTCAGGGCTGTTAGAGTGTGTTGGGTTACAACTCTTCACCTCCTTCTGCTCCCTCGTATCACTCCAGTAAGCCCCTCCCACCAAACGGTTGTGGGAAAGTCCTATCAGGCCGCTTTTCCACCAACTTACCGGTAGTTCTGGTTCTTGAACCGGTTCCATTCACAATCCTTGGTACCTTTGTGCTTTCTAGCAATTGTTTCCACCAGTTTTCATCAACAGTGGGAATTGCACAATAAGAAGGACACGCTGTCTTTGGAAGACTTCTGTAAGAAATTGTCTTTTGCCCGCCATAATGAAACTGAAAGGGTGCAGATATACAATGCTTCTGACAATCAGCAATAACATATAGCCCTTCTGTCAGAAACAGTGAAACACCACCATCTAGTGGCCAATGGTGAGATGACAGTTTGACCATGTAAAGGGTTTATAGTTTATAGTTGAGCTCATTGTCACCAGGAGCTGATGTGTAGGCAGTTAGTGTTAGATTCTGTCCTCTGTACACACCTGTCCTTTAAAAGCCACATGGCCCGTACAGGGATCGAACCCGCGACCTTGGCGTTATTAGCACCACGCTCTAACCATCTGAGCTAACCGGCCATAAAAGAAATAGTCATATGTCATAGATTTTTTTCTTCCTATTTATTTTTCCATAAAAACATAAAACCATCCTTAATAAACAATGTTGTCTCAAGTCCACCCAGATTACAATAAATATTAAAACATAACAACTTTTATCTTTTATCTTTCTTTTTCTTCTCATTGAGTGTTAAATGTCAGTGTGTCTCCTCTCCTGTGTCACAGGAACAACCGGGAAACAGGCTGAGCTCAAAGAAAAAGGTAAAAACTGCAGTTGTTGCATCTTCACTGACGCAGCTTTCTGCTTGTCCTTGACTTTCCCTCGGGATAAATAAAGT